TATAGGAAAGCAGTGCTTCACAAGAAAAATAATACAGAATTCACTATGAAAGGATGTGTTTATTTTTAAATTTTAAAAGAAATACATTGAAATTTTGAAGATAGTACCTTCAGCACAGAATGCACCAACTTTTATTCATTCTGACACTTTATGCCACACTTTTCTTATCATGTTATTGGCATAGTTTGATCATCTCTTCCTATGACGTTTTTCTATTTCTTCAACTTTCCAGATAACATTTGTTTACTTTTAAGTATTGAATGTGCATTAATTGTACAAAAAATAGGTTTTTTAATATCGTTTTTTCTATGACAAGTTTCTAAAGGAAGAGTGAAAGCTGATGTGGCTGGTGGTGAGAACAGTCATGCCACCTCCTTGGGAAGGGAAGCAGGAGGGTAGAGCATTCCAAGGCCAGTCTGAGCATATAGCTCAGGAGTAGAACACTTGCCTAGCATATGTGAGGCCCTGGGCTCAGTCATCAGTACTACTGAAAATTTAAAAATACTTCCTCTAACATGGCTATTGAAAAACATATTCCAGAAATTTAAGTTTTCACAGATCATTATTGGTAATATTTAAATTATTAGGATTACTGTCAGATTTGGGGAAAGCTATATGGAATTCACCCATACAAGCTACATTCAGGCACTCCCCCAGATTTCTCAGTGGTGACTGATATCAAGGCCTCTAGCACTCTCTAGTACAGCTGTGTGATGATGACAGTGATCTGATTGTGCTGGCTCACAGGGGCACCCTTAACCACAGGTGGCTGTTAAGCACTTTAGGATGCGGCTAGTGTGGCTGGAAAAGTGAAGGTTTTATGGGATTCTGTTTTTATTCATGGCCTTTCACCCATAAAACTAACACTTTCAGCCCTGTGGTCCAACTTGGTTCCCTCTCCTGGGCCTCGGTCCAGCACATTGACCACATCAGCAGTCTGGGGCTTCAACCTATGAACTTATTGAAAACTAACCAAAGATACTGAGTTCTAGAACACACTGTCTGCCTCATTCACCAGCCACTGTGTCTTTGGCCTGACCAGACTATGGAACAAGCATATTTAGAGATGAAGAGCCCTGTGCTTCTTCATGGATTCCTCTTTAACGTTCTGGGACAAACTATCATTTTCATTCAATCCACACGAAGTCAGGAAGGGGTGCATAACACTGCATCCATAACAAGCATCCCCAACAAAGATTTATTATTTTACTAATATGACATGTTTATCTTTGATGGGCACCTGTGATTATGGGCCCAGATCCCCTCCAATGAGCAAATGGCTTTTGGCTGTCAGCCCTTCTAGAGGATCTCATCATCCTACCAAGTGACTCCCTTTCCTGGAAAGTTCACATTTAATGATGACACAAAGACCTCTCCATCTTAGTCAAGCATAGGACTCTCTTGTGGGCCCAGTTAATGTCCAGCTGTATGTGAGCTCAGCTGAGACTGTTGGCTGTTCTTGTTGGATAGGTGGATTCCTCCTTTTGCCCACCTCACTTCCTTAGGTGTGATTCCCATGAAGAACACAGAAGTGCATCTTGCACCTCCTACCATGAAAGAAGCACATACCTTGTAAGCCTCTTTAGGTTTTGGAAGTAGCTTTTCACATGCCTGGAAGCAGTGCTCTGACTGTAGGCCAGGTGAAATGAAGAATTGGCCAGCTCGGCTAGGGTACAGAGTGAAGAGGGTTCTGCACCAGGATCCAGCTATGGCGCATGGACCCCTAACACTTGGGCCCTGTAGCCTGACAATATATGGCCTTAGAGACATTGCTGGTCAGTGTTAGAGGCTGAGTTGTGTCCCCTTCTCTTATCACAGAAGTTCATTCCTCAATACTTCTGAATATGACCATGCTTGAAGATAGTCTTTGTGGAGGCAAGCGGAAAGGGGGTCATTAGGGTAGACCCTATTCCAATATTACTTGTGTAAAACATAGGGAGAAGATGGCCATGTGCAAGTTACCATGCTTGAAGATAGTCTTTGTGGAGGCAAGCGGAAAGGGGGTCATTAGGATAGACCCTATTCCAATATTACTTGTGTCCCTATAGAAAGAGGAAGTTTGGAAATGCATCCATACATACATAAATGTAAAACATAGGGAGAAGATGGCCATGTGCAAGTCAAGGAGAGAGGACAC